GTTTAGGGTTTAGGGTTTAGGGTTGTAGGGCTTTCGGGCTTAAGGGTTTTAGGGTTTGGGGTTTAGGGTTTAGGTTTAGGGTTTTAGGGTTTAGGGTTTAGGGTTTTAGGGTTTAGGGTTTAGGGTCTCCGGAATCCTCCGACCTGGTCCCACGCTGCTCTCAGCCTGGATGTTCGGGTGTAGACGGTTTAGGGTTAAGGGCTTCGGGCTTAGGGCTTAGGGCTTGTACGGTTTGGGGTTTAGGATTTGGGGTTTAGGGTTTGGGGTTTATAGTTTGGGGTTTGGGGTTTTGGGTTGGACGCTCCGGGTACGAAGTCTTAGGCTTGTTGTGGCCTTGTGTACGGAGGCCGAGTTCCCGAGTGAAGAGCCACGAACACCAAGTGTAATAAGGGTTTAACATAGAAGGCTAAACAATTACCAATATTTTGCCTTAGGGTTCCTCAAATACCCCTAAATTAGGGTTTAGGGTGTTGCAGTCTTTAAGTAGAGCATCGATGCTGGGTTGGATTCTTCAGGCAGATGCAGCAGCATCCGCCAAACTCTTTTCACAACAGGCTTTCTGTCTAAACTGACCTCGACCATACCCTAAACCGCAAACCCTAAGCCTAAACTTTAAACTTCTGCGCAGAGGGCAACAGAAAGGCCAGCCTGAGACTCAGACCCATCTTCTGGCATAAAGATTACATGGATCCGCCACCTGCTTCGGACGGAGCTACAACTGTGGAACATGGTATCCCTAAGCCCCTGAACATACTTAACCCATAAACCCTAAACCCTAAACTCGCAACCCATAAACCCCAAACCTGAAGCCCTGACCTCGAAACCCAACGGGTTCTTCGGTGTTCGAGCGCACCGGAGATGCCTCGTCTTGTGACTTCTGAAACCTTTTTCAAGCCCTAAAGTATATATATATATATATATGGTTTATGGTTTATAGCGTTTAGTGTTTAGGGGATTGATCCCCAGGTGGCCATTGTGCTGCATGCGGCAGCGACACTGCAGTTCCCGACGCGCGATGCGCTATTCAAGGAGCTGCTTCAGCTCCTTGACAATAGAGTTTAGGGTTCATTGGGTTTAGGGCTGCTTCAGCTCCCTGTCGTAGCATTTGGAAACGTCTTGTGCTGGCATAGGCGAGAGAAAGCTAGTAGTCTACGTTGGTACAAAGCATGGAGATGCTGCAAAGGTACTTGTATGTGTAATTAACGTCCGATCATATTCGGATGTCGTTAGTTAGGTCTGTGTACATATATATATATATAT